AAGACTGAGAATAAATAAACGACAAAAGTGAACTAGAAAAAAAAATTCGTTATGTTTAAATGTAAAACTATTTTCTGTTTATGCTGTTAATAGAAACCTGAACATTGAAGAGGTGCAAAATTAACAGCAACGACAAAGAACGCTGCAGAAACTCTTGCATCTAGTCTGTTTCCATCTTAACCCATTGAAATACATTTACTTTTTTCCAACTTTTGAAATAATGGTGACCAACCCGAGCATTAAAGAAAAATACCAGTAAAGCGGTTAAATTTCTTCTATTAAAGGATTACGTCTATATCACGTTGAAACATCAGTTCCCGTACGATCGCTAAAGTTAAGCAACTTAGAGATTTGCCAGTGTGTAGATGGGTGACCACTTTGGGAATACCAGATACTGCAAGCTTAGAAGTGCGAGTGGTGTAATGGATAATGGCTCAGAATTGTTAGTCGAAATTCATAATTTCAGTAGAATTTATTCTTGCAATCCAATAAATTTGTCTGCGTTAAATAACCCACAATGGGTTGATAAGTCGTAAAAAAAAGAAGAGATTATTCTTGCAATCCAAAATAAGTTTCTGTGGTGTGTAACTCAACAATTCAACTGATGATAGCAGGTAGGCACAAAGAAAACCGGTGTCGCACGTCCAACCTTCTCACGAGCCGAAAACCCTCTCATTTGAAACAGCAGAAACGAGCCTGCTTTATACAGCTGCGGACCGACCACGATTTGCATGCGAATCACGAGGCAACGAGATTTCACGTTAACTGACCGAGACCACTCGGCATAAAACGCGGGCGCCGCCATTTTGGTTTTCTTTTTTACAGTTGGAAGGACCAGAGTTTACATACTGCGCAGATTCGAACGCGTTTCCGAGGTAGGCCATTTTCACAATTTTCCCCACACTCCCCTGATCTCATGATCACAAACAGGGCAGGGAGGTGGCGATCGTCGCCGTCGAGTCCCTCTCCGAAGGGGATAACACAAGCTTCATCCTCGTGCGTGTTCTCGTCTGTGGTTTGAGTGTCGGTAAACACTGTGTCCGCCGGGAGGCTGCTGTTATCAGAATCGCTGCCCTGCAGGTCTAACTCAAGGCAGATTGAACGCTCACTACTCCCAGACTCGGAATCGCTTTCATCGCTCGGTAGCGGTAGTGATTGCGTCGCCGGTCGCAAGTCTTTAATGTGACGAGGCACCCCATCAACTCTCACAGATTGCGGGCTGATAACCTCCGTAACACGTCCAGTGCCGTATTTTGTCGTACACTTGCCGCGTGGGTTTTTGACCCAAACGATGTCTCCTTTTTCAATCTCCTCCAGTCACTTCTAGTTCAGGCAGCGGGTTGGCTTCGATGCCTTTCACGCGGACATGATATTTGTGCAGTGCATCAGCCGGCGCCGTGGATGGTGAAATGTTATCCTTCAGGGCGACATTATACCAGTAAACCGCTTCCGATACTGTACAGCCCTTCCTGGCTGCGATGGTCTTGATGATTCTGTGGTTCCGCTCCACGATGCCGTTTCCACTTGGCGAGTAGGCACATCGAAACCGCAGATGCACGTCCCAAGTGTCCGCAAATTCTTTTAAATCTTTACTGGTGAACGCAGTATCGTTATCCGTCAGTATTTCCATGGGTGGGCCTCGCTCCAGGAAAACATTCTCCAACAGTCGAATGACGGTGCTCGCGTCTTGTCTGCGCAGCGGCCGCCATACCGCAAACCTGGAGGGACCGCAATCAATGAGTGTTAAAAATTCTCACCATTGTAGTGAGTTATGTCCATTGCCAGTCTGCTCCAGTTGCTCTTCACGCTCAGTTCTCCTCTTTCCCAGTGAACGGGTGCCGGATCGATCGACTGACAGGTTGTGCAGGCCTTCACAACGGATTTAACGCTTTCTCTGGACACCTGCGGGTCGACTAACCTGGCGAAGTACAGAGTTCGTTTCACGCCCGGATGTCCGCATTGACGATGCGTATTGGCAACCTGGTCCTCATCCAGTCGTCTCCCTGCCACTGCACAGCTCTCTAGTGCCGGTTCTCCTCTCTTGAGCAGTTCTAGCCACCTGTGCGGTACTCTGGTGAGGCGATCTGCACGGTTCTGACAGGACTGCACGAGTGTCACGTCTACGGTCAATCCATATTCGTCCACCAACGATCGCAAAATGCCCAGCCGTCGCCTGACCAGCATCTCACCAGCCGCCCTTGTGTTCACCCGTGCCTTCCCGGTCAAGGTGTCGTCGGGAAGCCCTGCCAGGAAGGCGCACCCCAGTATGCGGTCCGTTGCTCCGCCAAACGGTACTGCCAGCCTTCGCAAATCAGCCAGGTAAACATCCACGGTCTCACCCGGCTCGAGCCGTCGTCCGACGAACTGTTTCCAAGCGATGAATGGATCTATTCCAAAGGCCGTATACAGGGCGTCCTTGATCTCTTCTAGGTCAGCATCGTCCCCGAGTTGTTGATATACTGCGTAGGCTCCTCCCGTGAGTCTCAGTGGGATGACTAGTGCAGGTTCCTTTATTTTGGACACCCTGCAAACACGTTCGGCCTTTTCAAACCATTCGACGATAGTCGGGCCCGTGGGGGAGCCGTCGAATTCTGGGATCAACTTTAGATCGAACTTGTCCATTGCCGAAATAGCTTGTGGTGTGTAACTCAACAATTCAACTGATGATAGCAGGTAGGCACAAAGAAAACCGGTGTCGCACGTCCAACCTTCTCACGAGCCGAAAACCCTCTCATTTGAAACAGCAGAAACGAGCCTGCTTTATACAGCTGCGGACCGACCACGATTTGCATGCGAATCACGAGGCAACGAGATTTCACGTTAACTGACCGAGACCACTCGGCATAAAACGCGGGCGCCGCCATTTTGGTTTTCTTTTTTACAGTTGGAAGGACAAGAGTTTACATACTGCGCAGATTCGAACGCGTTTCCGAGGTAGGCCATTTTCACAATTTTCCCCACAGTTTCGCCTTTAAAAAACATGCAATGGGTGGATAAACCGTAAAAAGAAGGTTATCGTCTTCTTGCTGTTTTTGAATGGCATTTTGTTACGAATGCAGATAGCCCAAACACGCATATATTAAGGTTAATCTCCGCTTGACAACAGAAGAGGTCACGTGGGAGTTTCGAGTCATTTTGGGGAAGCAAGTCAAATGGTTGACTGACCCAGTTACCCGTAGCAACAGACGTCTAGACAGAATCTAGACAGGGGACTGACGTAAGGTCATGAAGCAGCAGGAACTGGAATTCGCGCCAAAATGCAGGACACGTGGGAATTAGAAAATTACTTGGAAGTCAGTTGCTGTCTTGTCTTTGAAGGAGCAAGACACGAAATCGAAGCGCTGATAACTTATGAACGGAAAGATGAGACTCATTTTGGTAATGATGGAACTTGTCAGATTCATCATAAGCAACTCCGGATAAGAAATATAAGGATGCATATTTCTATTTGTTACCTCCAGATTGAAGAAGATAAATGGAGCTATTTATCACATATAACGCAAGGAAATTTGTACGCTGAGAATACAGCCTGTGTTTGAATAAAGAAAAGAGAAAACCAGAGAGAAGGAGAAAGTATATATCTCTGTTGAAGCCGGACCGTATTTGAAGCTGAACTGTGTAAAGAAGAAGAAAGAAAAGAAAAAACCAGAGAGAAGGAGAAAGTATATATCTCTGTTGCAGCCGGACCGTATTTGAAGCTGAACTGTATAAAGAAGAAGAAAGAAAGAAAAGAGAAATCAAGAGAGAAGGAGAAAGTATATATCTCTGTTGCAGCCGGACTGTGTGTGAAATTGGATTTGTGTAAAGAAAAAGAAAGAAAGAAAAGAGGAAACGTGAGAGAGAAAAGAAAGGTCAATGAGGAAGAGAGAGAACTGAATATAAACATAAGTAACTATATATTTTGGACCCGTGTTAGAAAGATACACATGCATCCATAAACTTTATGTTCTCACAAACACCTTTCCACATGTCAAAATAGTAATATATAAATCCTATCCCATCTCTTTTTTTGGTTATGCGTTGATTTTTGCATTCGTAGTTATCCATACTTATTTTTTTTTATCCGTTCGGGTTCAGTCGAATCCACTTGAATTTAGGCATATTTTGGTATCCCAACATAAGTCTTGAGATTCTGGTCGTCGGATGCTTTACTCATGCTTATATTTTTCGTTTATTATAATATTTTGTGTATATGTATATATTAAAATTCTTATACCAAAATTTATTACGCCTGTACATCCCTGAATTGTGGATCAGTATTTGTGTTGAAACCGAAACGAACCTGGGAAAAGATTACTGTTTGATTATCCCAATCGAACAGTGTTATTTAAAATATTTTTGTTTACTAATTGTCCATTTGTCATGGTCTGGGAGAGATAGGCCGTATCTCTCCATAGACGTGATAATGTATATATCTCCTGGTCGGCGTATGATTGCATTATAAGTTATTCGTCGAGTAGGGCATATGACACATTTAAAGACATAACAATTGATTCAAGAAAAGAAACTGAACCGAACGACATTATTGGCGTCTCTCCACATAGTCCCCCTCCCCAAAATATATCAGAATTGAGAAAAGAAAATGTATGTTCCTTTGTGTATAATAAATGTACATACAAAACAAAAAGGAAGAGTTCATTCCATAACACTCTAGCCTCCAACAGGAAGGAAAAGAATGATTTATACACATAACAAAATCTTATTATTCTGTTGGCGACATTCTTGAAGACCTCCGTAGAACATTACCACCTTAGGGACTAGCCTGAAATTAATTGCAGGCTGGTATAATAACATTAGAGACTGATTCTGAATTATCATGCTAAGGCACTGCTGAAGTGAGCACGTAGGAAGTGCCCGAATCCTCAGAAGCATTTTGGATATACGGGATACTTATTCTACAATTCAATGCAGAGGATGGACAATGTGCCAGGTCTTGAAGAGATATTCTGAACTCTCGGCCATATTTGCGTATGTAGGATTTAAGTCAACCAATTCAACAATTAATGCAGGTCTAGGGACAAGAAACGTTGGTAAATATGAGCCGGGTGAAGAATACAGGACATGGACAAGCCATGTTGGCAAATATTAGCCAACTGAAGAATACAGGTCTGGAGAGAAGCCACAATGGTAAATATGAACCAATTGAAGAATACATGTCTGAGGACAAGCCACGATGGTAAATATGAACCAGCTGAAAAATATAGTTCTGTGGACAAGACACGATGGTAAATATGAGTCAGCTGAAGAAAGCAGGTCTGGGGACAAGCAACAATGATAAATATGCGCCAGCTACAGAATACAGATCTTGGGACAAGCAGCCTTGGTAAATATGAACCACCTGAAGAATAAAGGTCTGTGGACAAGCCACATTGGTAAATATGAATCGGCTGAAGAATACAGATCTGGGGACAAGACACGATGGTAAATATGAATCGGCTGAAGAATAGAGGTCTGTGGACAAGCCACATTGGTAAATATAAATCAGCTGAAGAATAAAGGTCTGTGGACAAGCCACATTGGTAAATATGAATCGGCTGAAGAATAAAGGTCTGGGGAATAGCCACGATGTTAAATATGATTCAGCTGAAGAGCGCCGGGAAAATAAAAAAAATTACTCGTTATGATACATTGTTGGAATGCAAAATGCACTAGATTTATCTGTCAAACAAACAAAAATAACGACACTTTTAAATAATGCGCACCTTAAATTATACTTAATTATCTTTTCATCTCTTTCCTTACTCACACTCTTGATGATTTCAAGTGACTCAAAAATTTGGACGCGATACGAATTTTGACGGTTTTATGCGTTAATAACTGCCACATGTAATTAATGTTGTTCGTATACAGGAAAAACGATCAATAATTTTAATAGACATAAAATGTCTATTCGTTTTAATAAGACATATCTGGAGGAATAATTGCTGGCAAAATATTCTGAATATGTATCTGTTTCTCACAACGATTCATATCTATCTATCTATCTATCTATCTATCTATCTATCTATCTATCTATTCATCACAGTCTATTCATATCTATCTATCTATCTATCTATCTATCTATCTATCAGAGTCTATTCATATGTATCTATCTAATTATCTATCTACGACGGTTGATCAAAAGTATCGGGCCTGTTACTATATTAACAGAGCTAAAGTACGTAGAATGAAGTCGATTGTCTCTAAGTTATAACGTTATTGTTCTCCTCCGTTGATTGTAACAGTTCTTGGAATGAAAGTCTGTAAAGTATGACCCTCTGAACACGCCTCAGAGGTTCCATTCCATCAGTGACAATGACTTGTGCACCAGTTGTTGGTCAAACACAACATCCCCCAGGGACGAGACCCACTCTATTCCCTCGATGTTGCGCCTTGCGACATTTTGAACTTTCCAAAATCAAATCAACACTTGAAAAAAAAAAAAAATAAAATAAAGACCTTAAGAAATCAAAAAGAATGCAACGAGGAAGCTACTCGCTTCCTCCCACCCAAAAAAAAGTTCCAGGAATGCTTCGATCAATGGAAACAACGCTGGGTAAATATGTGGCTCCAGAAGGGAATTATTTCGAAGGATATTAAATGCCGAACTGATATTTTTTTAAAGTTTTTCAATATTTTTAATAGAACTACCATTTATATATAATATATATTTATATATAGAATATACTGGTTCATTAAATATATATATAACGTCTGATAAAGCTTAATAAATATATACATATATATATATATATATATATATATATATATATATATATATATATATATATATATATATTTAGACATGTTTCATTAAATAATATAGACAAGTTTGTTCTTCAAGAAGTCAATTTAAAAGGTTTTATGTAATCCCCAATTTTTTTGCTCCATAAAATCGTCTGATTATTATTTTATATATATATATATATATATATATATATATAATCAATATTCTTTGATGAAAGAAGATTTTTATTTTCAAATATTTTAGAAAAGGGGATGTTCACATTCCTCCTCAGGTCTTTTGAACAGGAGTAGAGGTTTATCCATTGTTTTCTGTTTTCGATTACGTTTCTGGTTCCTTTTAAAGTCTTTGTCGTTTAATAGGAATAAATATGTCCGCCTATCGCCTGGTTCAAAGAAAAATGATAAACTCATCAGTTTTTGTTTTAGAAAAAACAAAACCCTGATGATGACATTGTGCTAATGTCGAAAGTGCTCGGAATAAAATAAATATGCATCAACATGGTAATTTCTTTTCTTCCTTTTATAAGGATGCTAAGAAATTTGTCCGTGATTATGAGAGGATCCTATGAAAAATAAGTAGATAAATCTTGTCCACATTAGTTAAGTAGACACCTCTTAATATATATATATATATATATATATATATATATATATATATATATATATGTGTGTGTGTGTGTGTGTGTGTGTGTCTGTGTGTGTAGATAGATACATAGATTTCACTGAATACGACAGACTAGGTGGTTTTATTTAGTTTTCATACAATTTCTCATGCGATCTAATAATTTTTTTCTTTTCAGATGATAAATTATATAAAAACTGTCCGAATGTTCTTTTTATCCGAGCGCTTTCGGCTATACATTTAACCATTTGCAGGGATTAAATATTTTATGTTAAATAAGAAATAATTTGTTGTATGTATGTTTTATAAAATGTTTTCATTTTTCAAAACACGGTCAAGATATTGTGTCCATGTTCAAAGTTAATATTATTAAGTGTTGTTTTTTATTAAAAAGGTTTCCATTATTTTTAGCCTTTTTTTGCATGTAGATGATACTATTATATTAGTGTTGTCAACAAGTATGTTACGAATAGTGTCCGGTAGGTCCCCATGAATAAATAAATGTGATCTAATTGACACTATGCCTAAATACACACACACACATATATATATATATATATATATATATATATATAAAAAAGAAATATATCTATTTTGGGGGATAAAGTGCTCAATAACAGAGAGCCTCTGTAAATATAAATGTGAACATTGAAGTCAACACTGAGAGGAGACAGGCTGTTTCATACAAGATGCAATATATATATATATATATATATATATATATATATATATATATATATATATATATCCTAGTGTCATATATCGGTCTTGGAAGTTCAACGTTACGGGGTGTTAATCGAAAGCGGCGGAAATGCCACATCACAACTCGCATATTCTTCACTTCAATTTTTCTTCATCTGTGAGTTAAGTGTTACATAAAAGAGTAGCAGTCCAGTAGCCTTTGCCTATTTTATTCTAAACATATTTTCCTGTCCCTTAATACTTTGCTTAGCTTCTGGAAGACTTCTTTCAGTTTTATAATACGCCCAAGTTTTCAACTCTTTTTTTATGATTACTAGTATAAGTTTTTTTTTTAGACTTCCTGAATGCTCACATAACCTCTCGATTGCTTTCTTTAACATTTTTTCTTTATCTCGGAGGAAAATAATATTCCACATAGGAAAAATGACATTACATATGGTAGATCTCTATGTTTAGTCTATAACGTATCTGTCATTATTTTGCTTTGTCTCGTGAAGACATCTTTCGATATTCTTATTCACTTGGGAATAGATGTGTTTCGTTCTGATTGTAAATATACGTCTACTTGTTTCTATTTTTCGTAAGATTCTCTCATTGCTCGCATATTCTCTATGTGGTATTCTTAACATTTGTCAGTAGACACTTATATCTCTCGTTTTGAGTATCTTAAGTTTGGCCTATCAAAAGAATCAAGATTTGAAATCTTGACACATTTTACATTTCGTTTTATTATATAAACTATTTTTTGTAATCTAGGGAAGGTTACTGAATAGAATAATCACACAAAGGTTGGTAATGAACGATAATATTTTACGACAGGAACAACACATAAGATTCGCCAGCGGCGCGTAGAAGTAGTAGTCAACTGCTAAAAGGGAGTCAAGCGAACCCCACAATGAATCTCTAACTGCACGATATTTACCAACAATCCCACGCGGTCAGATGTGGCACTAGGCCGAATTTAATGTGGGATATCCGAGTCCATAGGTTCGACCAAAATTTCCCTGTAGACACCGTATAAAACAGGGTCGGGTAGCTGCTTCCCGAGATGAGACTTTGCCCTCGTCTGGGGATCTTCTCTGCCCGGAAGCAGAGTTTGACCAGCACAGCTGGAGACGAATCTCCGACTGCAGGATATCTACCAACCGCCCCACGCGATAAGATGTGGCACAAGGCCGAATTTAATGTAGGGTATCCCAGCCCGTATGTTCGACGAAAAATTCCACGTAGACTCCGTATAAAACAGGGGTCGGGTATCTGTTTCCCGAGACGTGACTCTGGGGATCCTCTCCGCCTTTTCGATACAGCCTCATCTGTGGATCCTCTTTGCCCGGTGCCGGAGAGCTTGACCAGCATAGCTGGAGATGAATCTCCAACTGCAGACCAACATACAGTATTTACTACTGTATTTATGCGAATGGAGACATACCTATTATCTTCCGTGTGTATGCTTTCTGGTATTGATGCTATCATTATTTATAAACTTCTCCTGGCGTCAAATAATGAGATGAAACAATAATTGTACGTGCACTAAAGAATGGAAGACGTACAATAGTTAGGGTCATAAAATCTTTGATAATGCGTTTTTCTTGTTCATCTGTCAAAGCAGTATAAAGACAGATTACGTTTTTGTCTTTCCGACTAAGACGGTCAATCGTCACACGATCTAGTGATGCAAATCGATTTAAATGCTTTTCTGTGTTGTTGGATTTGTCATATGTATATTTTGCCCTTAGACTGAGAGCCCGTAATATAAGAGACCTGAAGTTAAAAAAGAAAAGGTTAAATAAGAAGGAGTTAATTATATGTCCAAATGTAGACGTGTATTTGTATACCTACACGCGCATATGTATGTATATACATACTCATGTATATATAATTGCTTCACTGTCTTATTTGAATCATTTCAACCAAAGAAAAGCTATTAAACCAAAGATGCAGCTTGAAAAGATTCATGATGAAAAAAAAAACTATTTGAAAATGAACTTTAATAATAACCTGCTTGATTAGAAATTAAAGTCAGTGCAATTAATAACAATTTATCTGAGTGTGATTAATTAAACAGTATGGAAAAATGGAATATAACTTTAATCACCAACTACATTAAAAGAAAAATGAGATAATTTACGAGTTAACAGTGGAATAAGAAGAAAATATGTTGATTGTCAGTGGTCAGGAAATCAAGATTTACTTACAAGATAGCATCAATCCCTTCTTGATTTTCAATTAATTTTTAAAGTGATCCACATAGATTGCATAATCATTGCACACTTTAAGTAATGTTTGCATTAAGTCCTGACCATTTGAAATTTGTTTCTTCCTAGTTTCAATGCGTTTGTATTTTAAAATCTCAAGCAAGGTGTTGACATTATAAATATAATGGTCATTTTCTCTTAGTAATGTTTACATTAATTCCTG